GGGCTGGGACCCTGGGACCGGCTCCTCTATCTGGCAGAGGGAGGGGAGGGGGAAAACAAAACAAAACAAACAAACAAAAAAATCTCAGCTACTTTCTTCCAGAACAAAAGAAAGTCAATAGAGCGCTTAACAAAGCTACAAATACACTCTGAAACAGTAAATATCTCTATTAGCATCGTGATGCCGGTTGGCTAATTATGTCTGTCTCAGTAAAACCTCTAAAAAAAATAACCCTGTGCAACTACTGTCTATTCACCAATTTTTTTTTATTGCTATTTTACAATTGGAGATAATCTTCCCGGTTTCTGAATCTTTGCCTTTTAGTATGGTTCTGCGAAGAAAAAAAAACGCATAAGCAGGAACAAAAGCACTAAAGAAGAAGAAGAAGAAAGAGAGGTACAGATCTTATCTGAGGTTTTACAATAAATGGATACACCCAGAGCTTTGAAACGCAACTGCAAGATGCTGCTGGCATCAAGAATTTTTGCTCCTCTGTGACTCAGCGTCCCCCCCATAACATGGGGATGACAATACGTACGGGACACGGTAACGTCACAGAAATTCATGGTACCGTAACGTTTAAAAACTTAAAAGCCCTCAGGGATATTACTCTGTTTAGAAATCACATCATGGGCATCTTGGAAAGAAATTCGGGAGAGAGGGTTTGGTATCTTTTACCACCGTGGGTTACAGGTGTGTCATACACCACCACAGCCCTAAAAGTTACCTTGAAAGCTGAGCAGGGGTCTGCACATGCTGCAGGAAAAAACAGAACTGGCGCTTTTTAGATCTCTTGTTTCTGCTGAGCGAGAGAAAGCTGGGGTTGTGTTTGGGGTGTGAAATCCCTTGAAATCATGTTCCTAAACAGCGTGAGCAAGCTGAGTCACAGCCGGAGCGCTCCCAGCCCGGCCAGGCAGAGCCCCTCGTGCCGGGGAAGCCCCCGGCCCCGCGGCGCATCGCCAGCCCCTCGGCCGCGGCAGGCGGTGGAGATCAGATGGGAGGGGGGAGGGGGGAGGACCGAAGGGGGGGGGGGGGG